TTTATCACAACAGTTGTTGATAAACTAAACTAACCTTACCCTGTCCTCAGTATTAAAGAATTACCATATTGGAAAGAGGAAAGATACTCTTATTTCAAGAGTGAAGAAGATAGTATTTTGCTATCAAGAAGAAATTGTAGAAATTGCCATGTTGCCAACAAACTGGAAATACAAGAATAAATGGTGAAAGATTTGAGTTTAAAGCTGCAAAGAGCCATGAAGCTCATTAAATTATCTTGGACCAGTTGGTAGCATTCAACACATAAGTTCTGAGAATAAATGAGTCAGGAGCCTTGAGCTTCTTGGAATAAAAACTGAATATAAACAAAGTTAAATTGTGGAAAGGACATTTAGTTACATGGGAAGGATTGAATGAAAGTGGATCCCCCCCCCCCAGATTTGTGCTCAACAGCCAGTTTTACTTCATTCCCAACTTTGTCATTTGAGATACACATGAGATAATGGAACAAGCTTAGAAATTTGAAGTGCCAAGAAGGGATCAAGGTATTTTGTAAAAGACAGAAAGAGATGCCAGTTTTCCATGGTGTGGAAGAAGACTCTAGTTCATGGGTGTCAAACTCGCGGTATCACATCACGTGACATATTGCGACTCCCCCCCTTCGCTAAACTGGGGGTGGGGGTGGCCAACGTGTGACGCATCTGGCCCACAGGCCGCGAGTTTGAAACCCCTGCTTTAGTTAGTCAAACTGAGTGGGTCAGTCAGAGTAATGCATGGAGCACAAAATGAACCCAATTATCTGTTAGAAAAAACAATTTTAATTTTTTTAGAAATACTACTCTTTTGCATCCCATAGGGTTCTGAGTAAAATATGGGAGGGTCCCTGAAAGGTAGTTCAAAAACATTGGTTGGCCTTCTAATTTACTTCCATTTCAGTATACATCTTTTATACTGACCCATGTTTGTCGTCCTGAGGGTAGATAATGGCCAAGCTCCGTTACTTCATTTCATTCTAGCATTCTGTTGGATTGGATAGAATACAGAGGGAGGAAGACAACTGAGGAAAGAAGAGAGGAGACAAGGGGAAAAGTGAAAAGGAAGACAAAAGAAAAAAATGTGAAAGACTGGGGAAAAAGAGAGAAACTGAGCAGGGGACAGAGGAAATCCAGGTAGGACTTTAAAAGGACTATGCTTTAACAATCCCAATGAGAATCAATTTTAAATGATTTAAAGCTGAGATTTTCTATCTAGGGAATTTTAATTTCAATCCAAACATGTTACATATTGCATGGAAACTATTCCCCCACAGGAGATGAATGAAGATAAGTTTATGTTCGTTTTTCTTTTTTGCCATGACAATGTGCTAAACAGAATCGGCTTAATCTTGGAATGAGTCACTGCAGATCTGCTTCTCTTTGTACGACAAGAGAACAGGGATGTCAAATGCTTCGCCAAACGCCGTAGCTTGTGGTCTTGTAATAGTAGGTAGGGTTTTATTTTAGATTGACAATATCGCTACGCAAACTGACAAGATGACCTGCCCTGGAGCTTCATATGAACATTGAAGAAAATTGGAGAGGACTGAGCCTGGAGCTACTCCGCCACGCAATGTTCCCATTCCCTAACAAGAATTCCTACTGCCTATCCAGGGAGATTGGGACTTTTTTATAAAAGAGCCGCAACCCTTGGAGGCAGCTAAAAAGAATTTTGATGGATGGTTTAAAATGTTTTTGAGAAAGAAAGCAAGACAGCGATGGGACCATTCCTCCCATGTAGGAGCTGCCACAACTCATCCACAAGGAATGGGCCAGTCTGATCTCCATTCTATGCTAAGGAATGAACCCAGAGTGGATGGGAACCCATGTCTATCAAGAGTCTCCCCAATACAGGAAGTCTTTGACTTGCGGCCATTTGTTTGACAACTGTTCAAAATTACCATAGGGCTGGTTAAAGGGACTTACTGTTGTGGTCCGCTGACGGCTTGTAGAGCTGGCAGCAGAGTCAGACAGTGAGGAGGTTGGAGAGGAACATGGGCCAGTCCTGGAGTCTGGTGGAAGCTTGGACGAAGGCTCTGCGTCGGAGGCAGAGTGGGGGCCAGGGCCATCTGGTAATGTGCTGCCTTTGGAGCCTGCGGAATCTGACATCAGTGAGACAGAAGAACAGTGTGAGCCTGTTCCCAGTGCACGCATGCGCAGAGCTGCCAGAAGGCAAGAACAATTAAGGAAAAAAGGGTGACTCAGGAGTAAGGCTTGGAGTTGATTGGCCCCTCCCATAAGACCGTGAGCCTTTGCAGGAAGCAATTAGTTCATATAGTCAATTCAAGCTCTGAGAAGTCCGTTTTGACTCTGTGTTCGTTTGGCCTTGCAAAACTAATTGGCAATTAGGTCTCTGACAGCTTTTCAAGGAAGATAAAGGTGGGTGCTTATCAACATTACCCTGAAAGACTATGTCAACTCAAGCAGACATCTGTTGGACTTGTTTGTGAATCCTTATGGGTTGTGAATGACCATAATTCACAGCCATCTCAATAAGAGTTTTTTTGGGACTAAAATTGTGATTTATGATTTCTCAGGAAGCCTACATCAGAACAACTTATGACTGCCGCGGCATTCCTGTGGTCACCTGATCAAAAGTCCGGCGCTTGGCAACTTGCATGTATTTAGAATAATTGCATAATTTCTGGGGTCACCTGATTGCCATTTGGAACCTTCCCAGGGATCTTCTTAAAAAAAAGCATTCAATGAGGAAAGACATATTCACTAAACAGCCACTTTTATTTAATGATTTCAGTGATTTGCTTAATGACCATGACCAAAAAGGTTGTAAACTCGGGCACAACTCATTTAACAACCATGGCTTAGAGATTCTGGACCCAATCGTGGTTGTTAAGTGCTACTTGTACCGCCTGCTTTAATAGAAACACAAAGCCAAAAGTTGAGGTTGTAACTTCTTTTTGTATTCTATTGCATTGAAAAAAGTCAGCAGTCACTGCTTTTTTTCTTTCTGTATTTTTGCACTGTTTCTCTTTTCTATTGTCCTTTTCTGATTTTTTGTTTCTATCCATATTTTATATTATAATAAACTTAATTAAATTTTGCAAAAAAAACCCACCACCACCTCCAGGCCACTAATGTTGGAATTTACAATTTCTCACTCTGAAACTTCAAAGTTGAAATATTTTGCACAATAATAAACCCTGCCATGCCAAACATGAAGTACGATTGTTCAATTGAATTACAAGGTCCTGCAGCCCCAGCTGGAAATTGAGTGGATGATCACATGCAATGAGATCTTCAAAATAGTAATTTAGCAACAGATGAAGGGTCTTGGGTGCTGACTACTGACCAAGCTTGTGTCTGAAATTCAAGCAAATGTTTTCTATAGCTATCACCTTTTTTAAAAACAGACTTTGAGTTACTCTTGACTTCTGGCAATCGCTTAAGCAAGTCCCTATAGCAGTGATGGCTAACTTTTTCCAGACCGAGTGCCCAAAGCGTTAGTGTGAGTGCATGAATCCCCAAAATGCAATGTGTGTGTGGCCCCCCGTGCATGCGCCCCATCCCCGTGTATGCATGTATGGTCACCGCATGCGCCCCACCCCCGCGCATGTGCCCCATCTCCCAAGCATGCACACATGTCCCCATATGCCCCATCCTTCTTGCATGTGTGCATGCATGCGTGTGTGGCCCCCACATGCACCCCCACATGTGTGGCAGAGACCCAAAGACCTGTTTGGCCGGCAGGAGGTGCGTGCGCATGCGTGACTGAGCTGAACTGGGCCGACGGCTCATGTGTCCACAGAGAGCGCTCTGTGTGCCACCTCTGGCACGCGTACCATAGGTTCACCATCACGGCCCTATAGTTTTCTTCGCAAGATTTTCAGAACCAAATTGCTGTTGCCTTCTTCCTAGGGCTGCAACGGAATGACTGGCCCAAAGTCCCTCACATAACTTTGTGCCTGAGGTAGACCTAGAATTCCCACTTTCAGGCTTGGTGCCTTAACCCCTACAACACTGCAATCATCAATAATAAAATAATAAAACACAGTAGTTACAACAGATAAATGGTTTTTATTTTATTTTATTAAATTTATGTGCTCTTGATATCACTTATTGGAGTGAATCTGGGCAGTTTACAGAATGATAAAATATTCAATATAAAAATTGATGTTTGGCAGCAAACTGCAATGTTGTAGCGGGTTTCTGAGATACTTGGGGACATAATGTTCCTTGGGTAAATAATACCCTCACCATAAAAACCGAATAATAATGAGATCGTTGTTTCCTCATTTTCCTGCTTCTAAAAGACGTCCTGCTGCATTACAACTTTACCTCAGACTGGCGCCATAATTTAATGCATGTATGAGGAGTAGAAATGATGCGCCCACAGGAGACTTACTTAATTTATATCTATGTTTCTTTATAAATGGCTCAAGGTGGCGAACACATCTAATATGCCTTCCTCTTATTACAGCAACAACCCTGTGAGGTGAGTTGGGCTGAGAGAGAGTGACTGGCCCAAGGTCACCCAGGTGGCTTTCATAGCTAAGGCGGGACTAGAACTCACAATCTCCCAGTTTCTAGCCTGGAATGTTAGTATGAAAGTATTTCCTTAGATACTGAATCAAAACCCTCTTTTTAAGTTCTATAAAGGCAGCAAACAAAGCTGCTTCAGGCAATCTTTCCCCTTTAAAATGTAAATTTTAATTTGTTTTTAAATTATTGGGTGTTTTAAATTTTGTCTCGGCCAAATTGTTTAATTCGGTTTTATTCTCCAGTTAAATTTTGAATTATTTGGATTATTTCTGTGGCTGCCCCCACCTTTTCCAGTGGCTTTCTGACTTTCGGTCACCCGACACTGTTGAAGTGAGGAAATGAAATGAAATGAAAACAGAGTAATGTATGAGGCATGTCCAGACATTCTATTTCCTGACTTTCTAAAAGAAAAGAGGAAGTTGTAAATTTCAACGCATTATTGGCTTATAAAGGCTGACTATCCTAACAATAAAAAAGCAATAAGGCCAGGACCAATGACCAGTGTCAGTGGGCCATGGGAGCCTTGCCAAAGCAATCAGCAGATCAGATGCCGGAGCATTCTACCAGCCCCAAATCTGTCTCAATTACTAGTGAGAACTGCGTTTAACCTAATAACAAGCCTAGATCATAGCTGGGGATTTGTCTCAGGCACTTTAAGAGCACAAAGGCAGGCAAGATGTACTATATCAATGTACTTAAATGATAGAGAACTAATGCCCAGATTTCCTATTCAGTCAGGCACTTAGAAAGAAGAAATTTCTGAATATGGTGTTAATGATGTTGATGGGTCAACACCATTAAGTTTCAATCTGGAGCCAGTAACTGATTTCTGGGTCATTTACAAATAGTATAATCAATACATAATTAAAACAACTGATCTTCCACATATTCACTCTTTGCAATAACTATCTTACTATCTTTACGGTTAGATATCTTCAAGGCAAATTTAAGTTCTTGGGTAATTTCAGGGACACGTCCGGGTGAGATCTTAAGACAATGATACAGAAGAGCACTTATTGAAAAAACATATATCCAGGTAAAAAAAACCCTGAAAATCATTTCTGCAATTCCTTCCCTTTTTCCAAAAAGATAGTTACGGAACTAACTACAGAACTAAGTTCCTAGCTAGGAAGAAGAACTTTTAAAATACACCTTTGATATTATATTATACAACTATTGTCTGTGCAAAAAATATATATCTTTTTTTAAAGTCTGGCTTCATTGAGCTACCTGGTGTAGATTACACAAGTGTGCCAAAAGTCCTTTCGGGGTGTATGTTTTCTTTGCTCCTGTAGGGTTTCGGATGGTTGTCTTCCCTGTAGGTTCTCTCAAGATTATAACGACTGTTGTCCCGCTGCTTTTGAAACTGCCGGACCTCCCGAATGGTGAGAATGCAGACCACCAAGCTTCCAAAATACAGGCAAGCAGCCACCAGGCCGAAAAGGGCCACGGATGCATCCCCGCCTTGCACGCTGCAATTCATTGAGGTGTAACCTCGCCTTGCGTATAGTCTTTCTCTCTTCAGGCACACATCCGTGGCGTTGACTTGAATGACGAAGTGGAGATAGAGGCCAACAGCTACTATATAACCAAGGCAGGCGAGGATGTCAAAGAGACACTCGGCGGCAAGCCATCCAAGGGAAAGGCGATGGATAGGCTTTGCTCCACTAATGAGAAACAGAAGCGTTAGGCACATCATTGTCAGACTGAAGGCTACCCCTCCATAAACACAAGGGGCTCTCATCTGGCTGTACTGCATGTCCAGCTCAGTCACCTCTTGGAGTTCAGTCCCCTGAAATGGACTATAGAATGAGTTAATGTTGAAAGAGCCTAGGCCTCCCAGAGAAGTGAAACCAGAGATCCCCGCCTGGGTTGCTCCTATGCAGATCAGCACCAAAATGTTGACTGTGACTTCGATAAACTGCAAGACACCTGCGGGAGGAAAAGAAATGGGGAATCAACACCGCCATAAATCCGTTGGATGTGGTTATCTTTCATTCTGTAAAAATGCATCTAGAAACTAATGCAATAATATTGTATAATTGGGCAGTTTATTATTGCTACAGCTCTATCTCTCTTTCTGCAGAACTTCGAGGTGGGTTCTTATGCCCACAAGTATCTCCTATAACAGAAAGTTAGTACATGTATGATGAGAATAATGATGTTTAATGTTAATATGGTATTATCGCTAGAAGATATTAAGAAGAAAATGAAGAGCTTTACAATGTTTAATCGTTTACTATAACATTAAATTTAGAGAAATAATGTTAAAGCGAATGCGAACGATGTAGCAAATGGTGAAAGAAGTTGCACAGAGATGCTTGTACCCAGATGACACACTGCTTAAGGAAAGATGGAATGTTTATCTTTATAACTGAAAAATAAAAAACTTTTTATAAAAAAAAGTTAATGGATTGAATAACTGCTACTGGCACTTACTGCTAAAGATCAAAGATGGAAGGATTTTATATTTGGGTGCTGTCTCCTTATTTTTAGTAAAACTGCTACATATACTGCAAAAGTTGAGATGTCATGTCCTGTATACTAGGCTCATCTAAATAGACTTATTTCTGTGGTGTCCACTCACAGATACAATCTGCACTTTATTCTGTGAATAGAACAATACAGAACCATATAATAGGATCTTTTGGCCCCAACTGGACTGAGCCCACGATTTAACTTTTTTCAAATTAACTATAATGGAACATGTCCCAAAGGTGCTTTTTTCAAGAAGCAACTGGACTTTCTGTTTTTTCTTTGAAGTTGTTTCGCTTCTCATCTAAGATGTTTCCTCAGCTCTGCCTTGATAATGGAACATCTTTATAATGTGTTATACATGTTGCTACAATTCAAAAGAAGAATTCTTCACAACTTCATTGATCATGTGATAGCTTCACTCTCTCAGAACAACGTGCCATCTGACAGTTTCACCCTCATGTGATTCAACATCACATGTTTAGTTTCACAAAGTTCCAAAAATTTAAAGCTTTATATGTAACCTACAAAAGGATGAGGAAACACCAGCATGTAAGACAGAAAAAGTACTGCAAAGGGTGAAATAAATCACAACTGAACAATAAACTAATGAAAAAGCAACACGAACTTGGTGAGACTGCCAGCTCAGTAAAAGAAAAAGTCCTTTATAATTTGGTGAATCTCTATAGGACAGTGACGGCTAATCTTTTCCAGACCGAGTGCCCAAAGCGTGCATGTGCACACATGAACCCCCAAAATGCAATGCGCATGTGGCCCCCCATGCATGCACTCCATCCCCGTGCATGCGTATGGCCTCTGCATGCATGCGCCCCAATCCCCGCACATGCACACACACTCCCATATGCCCCATCTCCCTCGCCTGTGTGCACGCTCCCCCGCACACCCCCACGCATGCATGCACGGCAGAGACCCAAAGACTGGCTGGCCAGCAGGAGCTGAACTGGGCAGAGCTGAACTGGGGCGACAGCTTGCGTGCCCACAGAGAGGGCGTTGCATGCCACCTCTGGCACCTGTGCCATAGGTTCGCCATCACGGCTATAGGACAATGGGTACAAAACCCCTGTATCAGACATTCTAGGGGTAATTAGTGTGCAGATGGGAGCCGGAGAAGGTATATTTCAGGAATAGCTGTGATTCAATTCAGGTAGTCCTTGATTTACAACCATAACTGAACCCCAAATTTTTGTTGCTAAGTGAAACATTTGTTAAGTGAATTTTCTCCATTCTATGACCTTTTGTGCCAGAGTTGAATCATAGAACTATAGAGCTGGAAGGGACCTCAGAGGTCTTCTAGTCCAACCTTTTGTTCAGGGCAGGAGTCTTATACCATGTAGAGGAAATGCATAATGCATTAATATGCATTATAGTTGTTAAGTGAATAGTTGTTAAGTCAATCACTGCAGTTGTCAAGTTAGTGACACAGTTGTTAAGTGAATCGGGCTTCTCCATTGACTTTGCTTCTAAGAAAGTCACAGAAGGGGGAGGTGTCACATGACCCCTGGGACACTGCAACCGTTATGAGTCAGTTGCCAAGCATCCGAATTTTGATCACGTGACTATGGGGATACTGCAATGGTCGCAAGTGTGAAAAATGGTCATAAGTCAACTTTTTTCAGTGCCACTGTAACTTTGAATGGTCACTAAATGAACTGTACTCTTCTCCTATCCCCACACGTTGCTTCCTGGGATGACTTACGCAAGACTTAGAACTGACGTAAACTACTTTCTCCTCCTCTCCACTCCCCTCTTTGTTTGCAAAGAGAAGCAAACACTTAGAAGGAAGAGAAAGATTCTTCTCCACCCTCACCTGCAGAGTATGAATAGTTTGGAACTTCTTCATATTCAGATGTGCAGGAAATCTTTCATTTCTTAGTAATTGGAAATTTATATGACACATTATCTGTTGGGAGTTTAATTACATACATTATGATCAAGGAGCACACATTTCAATATCATATGCGATAGCACTTTGTTTTTCCCATATTGTGGCCATATCATATTCAGCTCCTACAATGACATAGTGTACAATACAGCTTAACCAGTACACAATTCTGTTACTTACCAGATGAATTAACAGATTTAAATTCTATGGAATGTTTGCCATCTTTTTCAGTTAGCTAGATGCAGCAAGGATAGCTACAATAATGTAAATATTACAAATCCACTAATGCAGGGGTGTAGAAATTTTATTCCTGGGATCCCAAAGCATCTGCAAAAATCAATGCTAAATTTGAATTGTTGATGTGATAGAAAGGGAATTTATTAAATATACAGAGAATGGTTGTATTAACGTAATTGAAATTCAATCTCTTTCTGGTTGGCTTGTTTTTTAATCTTGGCTCCTCTCACTTTTTAAAATGCCAGCCCTCACTCATAAGAGTGAGGGCCGAAGCCCAAAACAGATTCTGGAATAAAACAATAGCAACAAGATTAAAGAAGACATGAGCAAGAGCTCTTAACTAGGGTAATAATCTGAAAACTGAAAAAAAATGATTAAATTTTAGTTTGCGCAATTTGAATGAATTAAATAAATCTAAGCAAAATCAGCAACAAGCCGGCAGAGTAAAAAAAATGAGAAAAATAAACCCGAATAATTATACTAATTATAATTATACAATTATAATTATACAAATGTATTACCCAGTTGTGCTCAAGACTAAGTATAAATTGAAGGGTGTAATAGCCACAGTGATTACATTCTGGAAACTTTATGCAAACTTAGTTTAATGTAAGTATATCTGAGGCCTTTCCTATTAAAACTACATAGAGTCATGCTTAAGAGTTAAGGACCAGGGCAGATTGAGCTAAATGAAATGTTCTGCCAACTATTCTTCACATTATCATATCTCAATCAAAACTTAAGAGAGCTTGATTTCCGAATCATTTCTTTACTTTCTCTGTTAAGAAAAGCTTGCTATACTAGTCTTGGATTTGATTAATTGCTGCTAAGCAAAGGTAAGCATTAATTTGCTTCTTTTTTAAAATAATATTTTAGAGCGGCTACTTTTTGAAAGTTTTTCAACTTCAACAGCTGGATGGATTTTTTGTTTAAAGTTAATTTTATTTTTTTAAAAAATGGCATGTTCTATGCCAAGACACTGTATTTTTTAAAAAAATTATAATTGTTTTATTTCTCCCTTCCCTCAATCTTCAGTACAGGTAATGCTCAATTTATGACCATAATTAAGTCAAAAATTTCTGTTGCTAAGTGTAATATTTGTTAAGTGAATTTCTCCCATTTTACGACCTTTCTTTCTTGCTACAGTTGTTAAATGAATTGCTGTAGCTGTTAAATTAGTCAAACTGCACTTTTGGCAGCTATCGGACACACATAATAGCAAGAAAATATGATAATAGTGTGCTATAGACGAAAGTTTTCTTTCTACTATCCAGCTCAGGAGTTCACTTAACTTTTTTGTCCTCCGCTGCTTGCCATCCTTTTGCTTACTTTCTCCTTGAATAAGTGTTCTTTCAAAAGGCCTGATTCCTTAACTGGGTAGCACAACAATAATCCTCAACTAGTGGTGGGTTGCCCCCGGTTCGCACCGGTTCTATAGAATCGGTAGTAAAACCGATGGGAGGCATCGCCCACTGACCCCAACGTCATCAGAATGCTTCTGTGTGTGTGGCCCTGATGCGAACCGGTAGTAAAGGTAAGTAGAACGCACCCCTGTCCTCAACCCTTGTCTGAATTTATTTATTAAATTTTTTTTGCCACCCATCTCATTATCCAAAGCAACTTTGGGCAACTGAGTCATAGAGAACTTGCCAGTCTCTCTTTCTGTCTAGATGTAGAGACACACAATTACAACTACAACTCAATGGTAGAACTGCAATCCTACTTTTTTTAGCTTACTGGAAGCCAAGAAATCACCAACTCTTCCTAAATGACTTATTTTAATGGGAATTACATTAAACTAGATGAATTAAACTAGATTAAACTGGATCCACTCCCTCTGTAAGTTGTACTCTTTCATACAATCCCTCTGAGAAAGTTAAAATGTTGAAAACTACAAGATCTGATGCCAGCTTCCTGATGTAGCCTATCAAATACTTCAGCTGTGCTAAAAATTCCATGGCTAAGAAAGTTCAAATAAGGACTCGACACGACAATAGCGGCAATATTTATCCCCAGAGTGATTTTTATTAGTGCCAAAATGCATCCCCAGTTCAAAGAGGTTTCATCAGTGATTCATGTGTGTTGAACTGCTTGTTGACGAGAGGCAAGTTGAGAATTTAAAAAGAAACCTCTCTAAGGCAGCGTTTCTCAAACTTTCTGCAACTGTGGACTATTAAATTTTCAGAAAATGTGAGCGCCCATTAAACAAACACCTGCTCCATTTTAAGAAATGGGGATTCATCAATTTTAATACAATTATTATACAGGTAATCCTCGACATACAGCCACAATTGAGTCCAAAATTTCTATTGCTAAG